GCAGAGATACGCATAGTAGACAAAGAAAAGCAGAAAGGAGACAGAAAGAAGGAGACAGACACAATAAAGTCTCCTAAGCCAAGGCCGGGGGGCAGCACATGCAGAGACACCTCAGACATGTAGAAGGAGACTGGCAGGAAAGACGAGACAAGAGATATAGAACAGAGGAGACAACAGAGGAGACGAAGGAGACAGCGAAAGTTATACCTGTTGAATCATTAGTAAGGGTTTATTTCTGTTCTTCACGTGTTGAGGCTTCGATGCATTTGAGGTGTCTGTCTCCTTTTGCTGCCACCTGCTGCTGCGCTGTCTCTTTTGCTGCATCTTCTCTTCTCTTTCTCTCGCTCTTTCTCTCGCTCTTCTTCTCTTGCGACCCGCGAGGCCTTCCAAGTCCCTTTCACTAACAAACTCGTCCTGTAGCACAAACAAAGCCCCAAAACTCTGCATGCATGCAGCGCATGCAACAGCCCGGGGCTGTCTCTCCCTGCATGCATACAAAGCTGATAGCCTTGCTCCCTACTTCCCTGAATTTAACCGTCCCTCTCTCCATATATATATATATAAACATATATATATATATATATGCCTATATACAAGTATATATTCATACAAATATATATATATATATATATATATATATATATACATGTACACATATATATTTATATATTTACATTTGAACGCGTATTAGCATACACCGACGTAGAGAGATTACTAAAAAGAGAAACGAGCAGGCGTGGAAGGCCTAAAGTATATATCTGAGGTGTCTGTGCACCTGGGATATATATACAATATAAATAAGGAGACACTGTCTCCTTTAAGGAGACAGTGTCTCCTTTAAGGAGACACTGTCCCCTTTAAGGAGACACTGTCTCCTTTCTTTAAGAAGCCGTTTCTCACCTCCTGTCGGTTCCCTTCTGTCTCCTCTTCGCTGTCTTCATCCTCGCTGCTGCTGCTGCTGCTGCTGCAGTCTTCTCTCCCTGAGGTTAGCAGCTTCAGCAGCTTTTCGTCTTTCTCTGTGTCTACCTGCAGTCTGCTGCTCTTACGGTGTCCCCCCCTAACTTGCTGTACTATTTGCTTCGCTCGCAGCAGACGGAGAGCAGCAAAATCTGCATCAGTTAGCAGCCGTTCTCCTCCACAAGGCACTGCTGCTGCTGCTGCTGCTGCTGCTGCTGGTTTGGACTCGGCAGCCGCTGCTGCGGATGCTGGGGCTGCATTTGATTCGGGTTTTGCTGCTGCTGCTGCTGCTGTTGCAGCGCTGTCGCCTGCTGCAGTCTCCTGCTGCTGTTTTTTTGTGTCTCCTTCATCTCCCTCTGTCTCTTGCTCTTCTTCATTTTCGCTGTCTCCTTCTTCTTCATCTGTTGCTGCTTCGCCGTCTGTCTCCTCCTCTGCATCTGTCTCTTCTCCCTCTGTATCTGTCTCCTCTTCTGCTTCATCTTGTGCATCTGTGTCTCCTTCTTCTACTTCATTGTCTGTCTCCTCGCTGTCTTCTGCCTCTGTCTCCTCTCCTGTCTCCTCTTCACTGTCTCCTTCTTCTGCTGCTACACCTAGCAGCTGCTGCAGCTCTTCCTTTGATTGCTTCTTAAGTGCCTCTAGCTGCGGCAGCAGCTGCAGCGTGGTGGATGTACCCGTAGCCCCAAAGACAGGAGGAGACACCTGTGTACAGACAGCAGCACAACATAGACATGAAACTGTCTCCTTTGTCTCTGCTGTCTCTTCTGTCTCCTTTGCTGTCTCCTTTTCTGTCTCCTTTATCTCTCTCGTCTCCCCTCTCTCTCCTTTTCGTTTGTCTATCTGTCTCCTTTTGTCTACACCCCAATGAAGCGCTGGGTTTAAGAGGGGGGGGCGACAGAGACAGGAGACAGAAAAGAGGAGGAGACAGGAGACAGATAAGAAGAGACAGGAGACAGATAAGAAGGGACGGGAGACAAATAAATGGAGACAGGAGACAAATAAGATGAGACAGGAGACAAATAAGAGGAGGAGACAGAAGAAAAACAAGAGGAGACAGGAGACAAATAAGAGGAAGAGACAGGAGACAAATAAGAGGAGACAGGAGACAGATAAGAGAAGACAAATAGGAGGATACAGGAGACAGATAAGAGGAGACAAATAAGAGGAGACAGGAGACAGATGAGATGTGTCTCCTACATTGTCTCTCTGAAGCTGTATAGCGGCCTCCTTCCCTAAGAATGAACGCGGCAGCAGAGTCGGGTGTATCTCCCTAAACAGATTAAGGAGACCCCTTGCTGCTGCGGAGACACTTTTGCTGCTCTTGTGTTTGGTATACTGCAGCAGATCCCCCAGCAACTCAGGCGTCATACAAAGAGGGTTCCTGCTGCAGATCTCCGTTATCTAAGGCAAAACAAAAACCCAAACCCTAAACCCTAAACCCTAAACCCTAAACCCTAAACCGTAAAAGCTGCATCCCCAGCTCAAGCATGCCGGTGAAGATCTGAATTGCAAGCAATCGGCGAGATAAGCCTAGGGTTTAGGGCGTGTCTAGGGTTTAGGGTTTAGGGTTTAGGGTTTAGGGTTTACGTGAGTGTGAGCGTGTGTATGTGGGTGTAGGGTTTAGAGTGTGCGAATGGATTAGGGTTTATACATACATATATATATATATATATATGCGCGTGTCTGTGTGTGTGTGCTTCCTGGCTCTTTAGGGTTTAGGGTTTAGGGTTTAGGGTTTACGGCGTTGAGTCCGAGGGTGAGTATTTCTTCAGATCTGGAGTCGGCGACGAAGTTATCAGCAATTGTTTTGATTAAGGGCTTGAGTTCTTCTGGAGGGACGGTGCGGTGTACAGCATTAGCAGCAATAGCAAGGAGAGCAGAGATATGTCTCTGAGAAGGCTTTAAATATCTTTCTAGATAAGGATAAAAGCCTAACAACAACACCTGGTGATGAGACACCAGACGAGACACCAAATTCATAAACACTACCCGAGTGCTGTAACTCTCCCGCTGCTGACGCACGCGACCTGCACACATACAATAAACCCTAAACCCTAAACCCTAAACCCTAAACCCTAAACCCTAAACCCTAAACAGAACACAATGGATTATGAACCATTACGTGCACACAGGGGGGCTCAGGTCGATAGACGCTGCACAAAATGCTGCACTCAAAATGCGAATCGGGAGAGGGTATAAAGCCTAAACCCTAAACCCTAAACCCTAAACCCTAAACCCTAGGTCCAAAGCCCTAAACCCTAAACTCCAGACCCTACACCTATGCCCCCAAGACGCACACCCCATACCTTAAACCCTCATCCCTACGCCCTAAACTGCCTAAACCCTAAACCCTAAACCCTAAACCCTAGAAAGTTACCGAAGAGCTTCTCTGCTAGCGCGTGGGCGTCATAAATAAGATCAAGGATTGCAGCAGAGGCGGTGGAGCCCCAATGACTTTGCTGCGCCTCCAGGCGCTGCTGCTTGCGAACGAGACGCTTTTGAAGGCGTTGCTGCAGCAGCAGCAGCAGCAACAGCAGCAGCAGCAGCAGCACAAACCTTAGTAGCTAAACCCTAAACCCCAAACCCTAAACCCTGCCTCGATCGTACTTCCTAAGGCGAATTATGACAGACAAAATAGGGGATAATGCAAAGCAATGGAGACAAAAAGCCAAGGAGACAGACAGAAAAAGAGACAGAGACAACAGAGAGACAAGAGAGAGACAGCTGAGAGACAGCTGAGAGACAAAGGAGAGACAGCCGAGAGACAACAGAGAGACAACAGAGAGACAACGGCGAGATAACAGAGAGATGAAAGAGAGACAAAAGAGAGACAAAAGAGAGACAGCAGTAAATACGCCAAAGAAAGACAAACGGAGACAGATAATCGAAGGAGAAGAAAAAGCAAAAAAGTAACGAAGAGAGGACAGCTGAGTGAACAAATTTAATATTATTATTTATTAATTAAATAATAAATATAAATATATGAAGTCGTTGTTATTTATATAACACTCCAGATAAATGCAAATAGAGTATTGATTTATTAAGAGACAACTCAGCAAGATACTTAAAAATAAAATAGAGGAGACAAACGTCAAAAAGGAGACACTTATCGAGCAGAAAGACAACAAAAGGAGACAGCAATTCACTGTAAATACACCCTAAAAATGAGGAGACAATTGGGGTGTATAGGCACCTTTTGCTTCTTTAGCTTCCGCTTCGCCGCAAGTGTCTTCTTGGAGTGTATAGCGCTTTGCTGCTGCAGCTCTGCTGCTGCTGCTGCAGCAACTGCTTCTTCTCCCTCCTCCTCATCCGCTTGAATCGAATGACTCGCTTGCACCGAAGCAGCCTGAGCACAACCAACACGCGCAACCAGCTAGATAGCTAGCTAGCTAGCTAGCTAGCCATTCAGCTAGCTAGCTACTCAGCTAGTTAGCCATTCAGCTGGACAGCCAACGAGCTAGCTAGCCGATCATCCAGCTAGCCAACCACAGAGCTAGCTATCCAGCTAGCTAGCGGCCCGTTCTGTCGCACCAGCTAGCTAGGGCGTCTACAGTAGCTAGCTAGGGCGTTTACAGTAGCGAGCTGTCTGGCTTGACGGCCCGCCCGTGACTGGCTCCAGCTAGCTAGCTAGCTAGCTACCAACTAGCTCGCAACCTAGACAAGCTCCCTCCAGGCTCGTTCGCACGCTAGCTAGTTGGGTAGGTAGCCAGCTAGCTAGCCAGCTAGCTAGCTAGCCAGTTGTTAATATTTATCTACCTGAATCTCCCCCAAGAGGAAGAGAGCAGCACTTAGAGCGAGGCGGGCGTCTGCAGCCAACGTAACGGCAGCAACTGCATTAACAATCTTAGCAGAAGCCGAGTTATTCTGAGACAACCCTTTGCTGCTGAGGTGCCTGTACACCTGAAATAAACAACATAAAGCCAAGCGAGCCGGCATTGGAGAAGAACCGCTCTTCAATAAAACAAATAAACGGGTTAATAAAGAGCTCCTCGCCTGCACACAAACCACAAACCCTAGCAAACCCTAGTAAACCCTAGTAAACCCTAATAAACCCTCATAAACCCTAATAAACAATATTAAACCCTAATAAACACTTTTAAATCCTAATAAACCCTTAAAAACCCAATAAACCCTTAAAAAACCTAATAAACCCTAATTATCACCCCTGCACAACAACTACCTCCAAACCCTAAACCCTAAACCCTAAACCCTCACTTGGTTGTTTGTCGTGGCTGCAAAAACCCTAGAAACATCCTTGACAACAAAATTCATTAAACGCTGCCGCACAAACTTGTCTCGGAGACACAAAAGAGACAGTGCCTGCTGCAGCAGCTCCTCGCAGCTCAGCTGCAAGCGCACATACACACCAAACCCTAAACCCTAAACCCTAAACCCTAAATAATGGTCTAAGCAGGGTTCTTCACAGCGTTTGCTCTCGTTTCCCGCCGTTCCTAGCTTTCAAACATTGAGGGTTTAGGGTTTAGGGTTTAGGGTTTGCACACCATTTTCTTGCTTCTGAGGAGCAGCAAACAGTTTAGCAGCGCATGTCTTGTGCTGGGATGAAGGTCTGTCTGCTGCAGCAATTCTTGTATAGATTGCTTCAAAGGGGTGGAGGGTGTGGGGCCCCCCTGGGGGCCCCCAGGGGCCCCCCCTTCTCCTGGGATCGTCTCCGAAGCGAATGCATCAAAGACAGCGGGCCCCTGTGGGGCCTCGGGGGCCCCCGACGCCCACGCGTCTTCTACTGCAGCACTGTAGCATGGAGCTGTCTGCAGCAGCAGCAGCAGACGCAGCAGCAGCAGCAGCAGCAGCAGCAGCAAAAGCAGCCTTTAAAGCTCGCGATTTTAAAGTGTGGGAACGAGACAACGCTGGTCTCTAGGGGATACGGGTTAGGGTTTATGTAAGAGTTTAGGGTTTAGGGTTTAGGGTTTACGTGGGCTAAGAACATAGCAAGGCTCTGTAGCTTTCTTGTAGGTCTATAAGGCTGCTGCTTTAATGCAGCAACGAGGCCTTCAAACTTAGAAAATTGCAGCTTAAATTCCTCCTTGTAGGCCTCAGGGTCTCTTTTAATCTTGTTCTGCATGCAACACAAACCCTAAACCCTAAACCCTAAACCCTCGAAAAAGGAAGCACGGAGACATGCCGTAAACCCTCAGGCGAAACACACATCACAAACGCAAACCCTAAACCCTAAACGCTAAACCCTAAACAACAAACTTTAAACCATAACTCAAACGATAGTTTGTATACTTCTATCGTAGAATCTCATGCGCAACAAAACACCAAACCCTAAACCGTTGCCCTAAACCCTAAACCCTAAACCCTAAACTAAATGAACCCTAAATCCTAAACCCTAAACCCTCAAAGACGAGGTTACCTGCAGCAGCGCCAAAGAGAGGATAGACTCCTCCTGCTCCTCGTTGAGGCTCCCCATTTTGCTTTGGAGACTCTCAACCCTAAACCCTAAACCCTAAACCCTAAACCCTAATGAGTCCTTTAGACCTTGAGGCGCAACCAGCTCGCCCCTCGTTGAGGTGTACGTACACCGTAAGTTGTTTATTTTTGCAATTTTGATGATGCTGCTGCAATGAAAGAGAAAAGGAAGAAGAAGGCCGGGGGCGGGGGCCCCACAGCCGTGCTCAGAAACCCTAAACCCAAAACCCTAAACCCTAGATTCGGTTCTAGGTCTAAAGGCCGCTCCCCATTTTAGGTGTATATACACCAGAAGAATTAATTTAATTGTTTAAATTATTGCAAAGTGAAGCGCAAGCAATTGGCTGGCTGGCGGTATACAAACGCATGCAGAAGAAGACCCTCGCCTCAGGGTTTAGGGTTTAGGGTTTAGGGTTTAGCTCCTTTCTCTTTAGACTTCTTCATCTCTTTGTCTCCCTAAATATTTCAATCAAATTCTGAAAATCTTCAGGCCCTGGAGCCTGTGGTGTCTGCAGCGCTAAACCCTAAACCGTAAACCCTAAACCCTAATCCTTCGATACAGAGCTGAGGGTCCCAAGCTCTAAACCCTAAACCGTAAACCCTAAACGCTAAACCCTAAACCCTAAACCCTCCTTCATTATCGGAGAAACTCCACTAGTATGTTTCTTCTGCTGTCTACGCTAAGAGAAGGGTTTTGACCCCTTCAATCGCAGCTCAACCATAAACCCTAAACCCTAAACCCTAAACCCTAAACCCTAAACCCTAGGATTTGGAGGATGGAGGCTGAAGAGATCTCATTAGGGTTTTTAGAGACTGAGCGAAGAATACCCCGGTGGTTCTTTCCGTCGAAAGTCGGGGGTCTCCCTCAATGGCATGCAGTGTCTCCTCCAAGCAATTTATTTTGCAGTGTATGTACACCTCAAGTCCCCTTGAGTCTGCTGGTGCAGGTAAGCAAATTCATACTGTCTCTCTTAAAGCTGCTCAGCACCTCACTTTGCTCCTGCTGCTGCTGCTGCAGGTCATGCTGCAGCTGCTGGGCTTAGAGAGCTGTTGCTGTTGCTGCGATTGTGATGCACGTAGAAATAGGGTTCTTATGGTTTCTGCTGCTGCTGCTGCTGCTGCTGCTGCTGCTGCTGTGCTGCAGCTATACGCGCCAGTAGAAGGTGCGCCTTCGTCTTCTTTTCATCGGTGCATTTATTTATTTTGTTGTTTCTCATGCGGCTCGAATCTCCGTGCGCTGTCTGTACACCTCGCTCGAGACAATGAAGAATACCCTTACTCTGCACTTTCTACTTTCTTCCCGACTAAGAAGGCCTTTTGGGGTCTCTGGCAGCAGCAGCAGCAGCAGCAGCAGCAGCAGCAGTGCATGCAGGAGGGCAAAGATAGGGAGAAGAAAGAAAGCAGCAGCAGCAGCAGTACAGACGCGTCTCCATGTGCATCAGCAGCAGAAAGCCCGCAGCAGCAGCGACAGCAGCAGCAGCAGCTGCTGCAGCAGCAAGTAATTAGTGAAGATACTCAGATAGAAGTTATAAAGAAGCTGCAGCGAGGAGAAAAACTACGTCAGCTTTGCTGCTGCCCTATGTGCGGCTTAGCTGGAGGGGAGACAGTTGGAGACACTGAGCTTGCTGCTGCTGCTGCGCTACTGCAGCAGCAGCTGCGGCGCGAAGAGCGGAGACTGCAAGTGCTGCTGCAGCAGCAGCGCCAGGAGATAGAAGCAGCAGCAGCAGAAGAGGAGACAGACACTGCAGCACTTCAGGACTTGGATAATACAGAATTTGAATATGAAGATACGGAGACAGATCAGAGGGGTCTCCTCGCCTTAGATGCAATGCACATACAAGGTAAGCTAAACCCTAAACCCTAAACCCTAGACCCTAAACCCCCGATTCTTCGGTGCATCTGTTGCAGAGGTTTACAAACCCTAGTTGGTGTCTGTCTGTTTTTTTATCTGCATGCGGTTGGGTGCTTGTATCTGCTGGGGGTTGTGTGAGGGTTTAGGGTTTAGGGTTTAGGGTTTGGAGTGTTGTGTGCAGCTGCTCGCGTATTGCATGCGCGCTGCTTGAAGCGGCTGAAGTTTGGGTCTGTTTTGGTGTCTCTTCCTGAGTTTCCTCTGGCTGCGGAGACAGAAGAATTGAGGTGTACAGGCACCTCAGCTGCGGAGACACTAGAAGCTGCACTCTGCAGGCTTGGCATTCAAGGAGACAGCAGCAAACAGCTCTCGCATGAAGAAGAACTCTTACAAAAATATCAGCAAACTATCAAGGAGACACCAGGTCAGCCGCTGCTGCTGCTGCTTCTGCTGCTGTTGGTCCAGCTGCTGTTTGTTCAGCTGCTGCAGCTTCTGCTGCTGGTGCAGCTGCAGTTCCTGCTGCTGTTGAAGGAGCAGCAGCAGCAGCTGTTGCTGCTGTTCGTCTGTATGCATGCGTTTAGTGGATAGGGGGAGTTTCCAGCACATGAAAAACAAAGAACGGGGCTTGATTTGTTTGCATGCATGCGCATGCATGCATGCATGCAGGTGGGATGCAAGTGCATGCAGTTGCATGCGCGCATGCATGCAAGTGCATGGATGTGTTATTTTGGGGCTTTGTTGTTATTGTGTTTAGAGGCGGATTTGGATGAGTCTGAGATGGATGCATTTGAAGAGATTTACTCGCAATACACCTCAGAAGACCCTCAGCTAGAGGTGTTTATTAAGCGCTGCTCTCAACAACCCCACCAAAAGAAACACGTGCTGCGCTATGCATTAGGCGGCAAGCCCCTTTGGCCTTTCTCTAAGCAGCAGATAAAGGAGACAGATGTCCCTTCTTGTCAGTGCGGTGCAAGGAGACAGTTCGAATTCCAGGTGCCTAAGTGTTCAAACATACTTCATTCACACTTGCTGCTGCTGCTGCTGCTGCTGCTGTTGCTGCTGCAGTTGTTGCTGCTGCTGCTGCAGGTGCTGCTGTTGCAGTTGTTGCTGCTGCAGCAAGCGATACTGTTGTAGGTGCTGCTGCAGCAGGTGCTGCTGCTGCAGGTGCTGCTGCAGCAGGTGCTGCTGTCGCAGGTGTTGCTGCTGTAGGTGTTGTTGCTGTAGGTGCTGCTGTTATGCTATATTTGTTTTTGTCTCTTAACAAAAGGAGACCATTGGAGACAAACGAAAGCAAATGGATGGAGCTAGAGATAGAAGGAGACAGGAAGAGAGAGTGTATGTGCGTGTCTCGTGCATGTGTCTCTTCTGTTTTATATACTGCTGTCTCCTTGCTGCTGCTGCGCATTTGGGTGTCTCCTCAGGTGCAGCCGCAGCTGCTATCTCAGCTGTCTGAGCAGCTGGGATCGAGCGATCCCGCTGCAGTTGCTGCGTTAGAGCGGCTGTCTTTCGGTTTAATAGCTGTTTACACCTGTTCTGCACACTGCAGCGCAGTGTCTCCTCAGCTGTCTCCTCAGCTGTCTCCTTATAGAGAAGAGTTTGTATACGTACAGCCGGACCCCTTCTACGGCTGAACGCGCAGAGACAAAAGGGGCTTTAAGATGAGACAAACAGAGACAAACAGAGACAAATAGAGACAAACAGAGACAGAGAGAGACACATCAGATGCAAATAGAGACAAACAGAGACAGAGAGAGACAAATAACAGACAGAGAGAGACAAACAGAGACAAATAGACAAACAGAGACAGAGAGAGACAAATAAGAGACAGAGAGAGACAAACAGAGACAAATAGAGACAAACAGAGACAGAGAGAGACAAACAAAGACAAATAGAGACAAACAGAGACAAATAGAGACAAACAAGAGACAGAGAGAGACAAAGACAAATAGAGACAAATAAGAGACAGAGAGAGACAAACAAAGACAAATATTATAAAGAGACAAAGCGAGACAAATATAATGAAGAGGAAGCAAAGAGAGACAAATATAATAAAGAGACAGAGATAGTCATAGAGACAAAGACGCAACAGTTAGTAAGAAAATGTAGAGGTTATATACACACAAAAGCAAGAGGGACACAAGCGTTGGAGACAGAGATAGGGGATGAAGAGAGAGACAAAAGAGACAGAAAGGAAGGAGGAGACAGAGAGACAGCAGAGACACTGAGACCCTATCTATGTATGGGCCCAGAGGAGACACTTAAGTGAAAACAAACAGAGACAAATAGACGTGCTATTACAGGGCAGGCAGCGTCATCTCAGCTGCTGCTGTTGTTGTTGCTACTGCTGCTATTGCTGTTGTTGCTGCAGGAGCAGTAGCAGCAGCAGCAGCAGCAGCAGCAGCCTAGAGAGTCAAGCTAGGCCTGGGGGACCTCAACGTACACCCGATAACACTTGCGCAAAGGCAGGTGTTAGGAGACCCGTAAGGGAGAGAGCTGCTTGCTTTGCTGCTGCAGCACAGCAGCAGCAAGGCAGCAGCAATAGCAGCAGCAGCAGCAACAACTGGAGGCGCAGCACTGCACGTCCCTGAGCAGCAACGAGCAAGGGCTGCAGCACCTCAGGCAGCAGCAGCCGCATCAGCTGCAGCAGCAGCAGCAGCTGCAGCTGATGCTCTCGGATATGATTACTAGCGGGTAGTTGGCTACGGTGTTGGAGTGTAGGAGGAGACAGAAGGAGACAGTTGCAGCAGGAGACACTTTTGCTGCTAGCGCAGCTGCGAGCTGCACATACACCCGAAAACTCTTTGATGTATTGAGACGTTGCACTGATAAAACAGACAAAGAGGATGGCTTGTCTCTGCATGAGGTGTACGTACACCAGGAAGGTCCCTGCCCTCTGCTGGAGCAGCAGCAGCAACAGCAACAGCAGCAACAGCAGCAGCAGCAGCAACAGCAGCAGGAGCAGCAGCAGGCTGCTTAGTAGAGGAGCGACTGTCCCCCAAACCATAAGAAATGAGAAGATAAGACTAATTTTATCCTTTTTTCAATGTATAATTAAACAAAGATCTCCAAGTGCTGCAGGGAGGCGGAGGTGTACGTACACCTCAGTAGGAGCGGTGGTTCGGTCTGGGCCTCGTGCTGCTGCTGCTGCTGCTGTTGCTGCAGCTGCTGCTGCTGCTGCTGCAGTGTTTTTGTTTCTTTTTGCCTTTATATATCCATATAGAAACAAAAACATAAACACATCTACCCAATGAGGAGACACCCTCATCGGTCTATCAGGCTGTAGGCTGCTTGCCTAGAGCTAAGCAGACAGCGGAGACTGCAGGAGCAGCAGCATTAAATATGTTGCTGCTGCTGCAGCTGCTGCTGCAGCTGCTGCAGCAGCAAAAGATCCTGCTGCTGCTCCTCCTGTTGACCTCTACAGTAAGTTCTCCCGCTGCAGCAGGGCCCCTGCTTAACCAAACCACAGATGAAGAGTTGTGCATACACCTCAAACACACACACAGTATTCAAGCCCCTGTCTCCTTCTCAGGCCCTACTGCTTATCAGCAGCCAGGAGATTGAAAAGGAGGGAGCACCAACTGTCTCCTTGCGTCCTCATGACTCCATCAGTGAGGGGCTAGCCAACCCTAAACCCTAAACCCTAAACCCTAAACCCTAAACCCTAAACCCTTGCCAAGCACAAGTTCCAGTATATCAAGACTGTTTATAAGAAGCCGCTATCAGCGTCTGAGGTGCCTGCAAATAGAAAGATGGGAGTGAGGGTCTGGGGTGTATAGGGAGCTCCTTGTGTCTCCTTTGTGTCCACGCGCTGCTGCTGCTGTTGCTGCTGTTGTTGCTGCTGCTGCTGCTGCTGCTCCAGGCAGGAACCGCAGCCTCTCACACATTTTGCTAGATTTGCCTCCCAGCTTTTTACCTGTCTCCGACCGTCTCCAAGTCAACCATTCAGGTGCACATACACCTCGCTACTCCAACTCAAGCAGCTGTGCTGCAGGTGTCTCCTCCTGCGCAGCTCCTGCGGCTGTCTCTCGAGATTATGCAGGACATGTACAACAGGGGCCCCCTCAAGGGGCCCCCATATCAGCCCTTCAGCTGTCTTCTAAGGGGGTCCCTCAAGGGGCCCCTCAGTCGTCATCTAGGGGGGCCCCTCAGGGGGCCCCTCAAGGGGCCTCTAAGGTGGCCCCTCAAGGAGTCTCCTTAGAGGCCTCTGAAGGGGTCCCCCAGGGGGCCTCTGAAGGGGCCCCCCAGGGGGCCTTAGAGGGGGGCCCTGAAGGGGGCCCCCCAGAGGGTGTACATCGGAAGCGTACAGTATTCTTGCAAGATAATTACCCACCTCCTAAGCTGTCATTCTTAGTAGGGTCTGAAAAGCCTCGTTCTTCTGGGTGGAACAGCCCAAGCAATCAAAGACAGCTAGCGCATGCAGTAAGAAATGCTTTTTATTCATACTCTTTATATGATAGTCTTTCAACGAAGCTGTATATACACCGCAACGGTCAAAAACGCTTCATTGCTGATCTACATAAAGCTGGGGCTTTCGATCTCGATGTACACCCCGATGAATTCAAAGAATGGCCATGGATGAAGGCGCTCGCACAGAGCTACTTACGTAAGGCTCTAGGGTTTAGGGTTTAGGGTTTAGGGTTTAGGGTTTAGGGTTTAGGGTATAGGAGCTGGGTGTTGGGCGGGAAGAGGACCTTCTGTTTGGTCTGTTAAGCGTACTTCAAAAGTTTAGCCTGGAGACACCAGATTTAGGGTTTAGGGTTTGGGGTTGCTTAGGGTTTAGGGTTTAGGGTTTAGGGTTGCAGCACTCAAAAGGGCCGTTCTATAGGGTGCTGATTATGTATTAATTTGTATCAGTGATTTGAATTAATGCATATTGATGCAGATGCCTTTATGATTCTGGAAGGTAGGGTTTAGGGTTTAGGGTTTAGGGTTTATGTGCATGCAGAAGAAGGGAGCGATCAGGATACAGCAAACACCGTTTCTACGGCTGGAGTGTCTGTGTTTGCTGCGTCTCGGCCTGAAGTACCTTTAACTCGTTCTTTATTGCAAGCATATTTGGATCAGAGGTGCCGTTCTCTGTCTGCTGACGACTTACCCCGAGCAGCACGTCTAGAAGGAGATAAAATTCTTTGTTTCTCGTTAGATGCATTAGACATGCAGCAAGAAGGGCAGTGTCTCGATGTCTGCTTTAACCCCTTCGGCTGTATAGGCAAACCCGTAGATACTTCAAATGCGCAGCCTCTTGAACTCGATCTAGCTAAGGAAATGAAGTACTGGTGCAGTACGCCTAACCCCCATACAATACCCTCCCTACCCCTAACACACACAAACCGCTAGCTAGCTAGCTAGCTAGCTAGCTAGCTAGTTAGCATACATGTATATATATATATATATATACCTTACCGGCTAGCTGCAACGCAATGTAGCCAGGTAGCATACTAGCTAGCTAGCCACCTAGCTACACGGCTAGCTAGCCACGTAGCTTACTAGCTAGTTAGCCAGCTATCCACCTATTCAAGTCGGGCCCTTCACTAGCATCATTTGTAGCCAACTAGCTAGCGGATTAATTGGTTGCCTGTCTAGCTAGTCCCCTATCTACCTATGAATATATCTACGTATGTATCTTGCTATCTATATGTCTATGTGCTAACTAGCTATGTAGCTATCCATCCATCTAGCTAGATAGCTAGCTAGCTGGCTGGCTACCTATCTATCTATCTATATTTCTACCTACCTATTTATGTATCTCCCTATGTATCTCCCTAAGTGGCTAGCTAGGTATCTAGCTATTGATCCGTCTAGCTAGCTACCTAGCTAGCTATCTATTTATGTAGAGTGTTTGTATTGTGGCTGTAAGAGCTTCTGGCTGGGTGTTGTTTGTGTTTGAGCTTGCAGCTTCATCTGACCTTCATCGTAGAGTAGAGAAGCACTTATGCAAAGAAGACTCTGTGCTGCGTTTGGTAATGGAGGTGAATTTCGGCTGGATATGCATAAATAATTCTACAGAGTATAGCTCAGCTAATGCTCTTTTGAAGTGTATAGGCACATGCGGAGAGCCGGTAGAGTGCCTCTCGCCTACCACGCCTATCACTCTCACGGGCAGCGCAACCACTCTAAACAAACTTATACAACAAGAAAAGCATCCAGGATGCGGTAAGAATAGCAACAATACTAGCTAGCTAGCTAGCTAGCTAGCTAGCTAGCCAGCTAGCTAGCTACCGATGTATCTATCTATTGCTGCTGTTTTGTTGTTTTTAATGTTGCTGCTGCTGTAGCTGCTGCTTTTTCTGCTGTAGCTGTTGATTCTGCATCTGTAGTTGTTACTTCTGTCTTATTATTGTTGTGGGTGTTGTTTCTGCGTCAGCTGTTGTTTCTGCTGCTACATCTCCTGCTGCTGCTGCACCTGCTGCACGTGGTGGTGCAGTGTATATGTCTCCTTTTTGCTACTGTGTGTATCTGTCTCCTTTTATATGGCTTAGATTGCAGCGAAGGGACACTTGGATGGAAGTACTTGGGATGTCAGTCTAGAACGCGTCTGGGTAGGAGATGTCAGCACTGGAATCAGCAGTCTCCGCATAAGCATGATGCACTTAAAGATGAAGCACATAATTTTTGTCGATCTACACAAGAAGGAGAAGATATTTGGTGCTTTACAACAGACCCAGATGTGCGATCCGACTTCTGCGATCCCCTAGGTCAGTAGACACCCCAATACATGCATTCATGCATGCATTCAGGTGTCTCCATGCATGCATGCAGCCATGCATGCATTCAGGTGTCTCCATGCATGCATGCATTCATGCATACATTCAGGTGTCTCCATGCATGCATTCATGCATGCATTCAGGTGTCTCCATGCGTGCATAATAATGCATGCATTCATGCATTATTATGTATTTATCCTATATATAGAATATATTTTGGAGGGTGTATTGTAGAATATTAATATTATGCATTTTATATTTGACATATTATGTGATACATATTTATTTATCATGTACTATGAATTCGATATGCGATATTTAATATTATTTAATCTGTATTATCCATTATATATACTATATCATATGATATATATATACATATATATATATATATGTATATAATATATCTATAATACAATATCTATATAATAATATTTATATCATACTATACATATATATATATACCTTTATATATAATTATTATTATTATTGTTGCATATCCTTGTTCTTGAGCATACCGCATTAGTGAATGCCTCCATATGTTTAAAGTGCTTCTTTTCACAACAAGTTTAAATATATAAACATATATATATTATATATATGAATGACAATGCATATATATATATATATACATGCATATTAATTATATTGCATATATATACATATATATATATATATATTTATATTTATATCTACAAGGACGTACATATTAATGATAATGCACATATATATTTGTACGCATAGATATATATATTACTGATAATGCATATATATATATATATATATTAATGATGGTGCATAGATAAAAATTTATTTTTTATTTATAATATATTTGTTGTATTTGTTTAGGGCCTAAGGCGCAGTTGGTGCGTCCCTCTGATTATTTTGACTTGGTAATAGAGAGCTCATTTAATGAGGGTGCCTACGATATTAAGTTTTTTAAGGAGACAGCAGGGACAGGAGACACTACATCTCCTTGCGGGAAGGGACAGCCAACAGGGGACATACACCTGGCGGATAGCACCACCACCACCAGCAGCAGCAGCAGCAGCGGCAACGTTAGAAGGGCCTTTAAGACTTACTCTGAGGGGAGTATCTCTGCTCTTGTCTTTCAAAATGTACAAGTAGAAATGCAAGCAAATGGATCTTATGCAGTTTGTCTCTGCGATTATAGTTTCTATACTGTAAACAACCTCCAGTGCTCCAAGCCTGATCATTATACAATGCATGCGGGTTGGCTGCGTGTAAAAGGTAAGAAAAAATTTATTAGAAACTCTTCTCCATGCGCTGTACGTACACTGCAACCCACATGCAGACACCCCAATCCTACGAGCTCCACATACACCGTAAACACCTGCCGCCAGAGATGTGCACCTATGCATGCAATGCATGCAGTACATACAGAGCATGAAATGCATGCAATGCATGCAATGCTCACATATACACGTAGAACGCATACACCACATGCAGTGTATACAATGCATGCAGTGCATGCACTCTGTGTGCATGCGTTATTTTGTTTTGTTTTGTTTTTTGGTGCTGTTTTTGCTTAGGCCCCTCGCATACTTTAGATACATTTGCAGTAGAGACAGGGACAGATGCCTCTGTGCGATTATACGGGTACGGGTACACTGAAAATGATGATGTAACAATACTACGCTCTTCTTATAACTGCGATGTCTCTGCTGCTGCGTTTGCTGAGTCAATGGGGAGTCTCCTTTCAAAGGGCCCTGCAGCGTACAGACAGCTGGCGTCTGCTTTACAACTAGGCACTGCAACAGTAGCAAGGCTACGCCCTACATCTGTCTCCTACAGCACTAGCACCAACTCTACTGTTCTTTATCTACCTTCTTTCACTGTCTATCAAACGGGGGTCTTCCATGCATGCTGGACACCCGAAGGATTCAATACTGCTATTCCAGCAGCCAACATCGACGTTACAGGTAACGCTTTTAGGGTTTAGGGTTTAGGGTTTAGGGTTTAGGGTTTGGGGGGAGGGTTGGCACGATGGTCAAACGTGGGGGGCCTTCAAACCCTAACGGACTTGCATGCGTGTCTCGTCATGTGTGCATGCATGCATACTTGCATACACTCTTGGAATGCATCTTTGGGGTGTACATGCATGCATGCATTCATGCATGCATGTATGCAAGTACGCATGCATGCATGCATGCATGTACGTATGCATGCATGCATGTACGTATGCATGCACGCATGCATAGGTATAGGCTTGAAATGTGAGTGTGGGGTGTGGGGTGTATACTGAATAGGTCTGGAGTTGCGTCGTCACTTTTACGCGTTATACGTTCCCAACTCCCTCAAAGCTGAAGACAGAGTCTTCTCTTTGTTTATTAAAGTTAGAGGACCAGCTATTGTTCCTACTAGAAATGAAGTCTATCTTACTAGGCGCTCAGATACCCCTTGTGGAGGTTCAATTGTGGGGCGCCCAATGGCAGTGACAGTGCAGCCCACAGCAGAAGACACTGAAACCAGATACTTTGTTGCAGAGTAAGCAAAACCACCTACCTAACTAGCTACCTAGCTAGCTAGCTAGCTAGCTACCTAGCTACCTAGCTAGCTAGCTAGCTACCTAGCTAGCTAGCTAGCTACCTAGCTAGTTAGGTAGGTAGCTAGATACCTGGCTGGCTAGTATATATAGCGGCAAGTATATATATGCATATATATATATATGGATAAGGATACAAAAGTGCATGTATGTATGCATATGCATATATATGTATGTACATGCTTCTTCTATAAGATATAGGATTTGTATATGTATTTGCACTCACACGTTCATCAGAGTGTACAGATATAGATTTGAGTTGGGGTGTACGATGAGTGTTTATTGCATGCATTGTATGTGTCGTGTATATATCGTTTTTTTGCAAATGTTTGTGGCTTCAGACAAATGACAATAAAGAGATTAGACACCGACGGCGTTGCAGATGATACAGTGGAGGTTTGCTTAGAAAGAGCAGGGAGAAGACGATCCCTTGGTGTTGCCTTCCTTAGCAGAGCTCTGGTGTATCCACTTCATGTCTTTCAGAGGGGCCCCCAGGGGCCCCCAGGCGTTCCTCGAGGGACATTTTCAATGGCTATATCTAAGTTTAGCTCTTTGGGGCTTCATTGGGCGCATGCAGCAACAGGGGTTGATTGTTTCTTTGAAAGCGATTTGCATGCATTCTTCAGTCAAGGTGACTTCCCTAAAGCACTCAGCTTCTGGGTTGAGGAGACAGGCATCTCTTTGTGGCACTCTTCTATTGCTCGCGCTGCTCCTAAGGCCCTAGGTTGGTTTGCTATAGAGGGGGCTTCTGCTGTTGCAGTGCATGCAGACAGCACTCGTGTCTTATTCTTTATTTTAAGAGGAGATCCACCTGAGCTTGAGGTGTACGATATGACGGAGCCTAGACACCTGAAAGACCTGTCTCCGCTTGCGTCTTCTTCGGAGACAACACGTTTAGTGTCTCCTTCTTCAATATCTCTGTTACCAGGGAAAGAAGATTGCCGCGTCTTACTAACAGATTCTCGAAGGAGACAGTTGCTGCTATTCAGCAGCAGCTTGCAGCTGCTTGAAGCTCAGGGATTCTGGGAAGGGATGGCTGCACCTCTTGAAGGCCCTCGCTCTGTGTTTTGTCTACCAACACCTGAGAGTGTATCTTCTAGTCTCTTTGATTGTTATTTTGCTGATAAAGATTCAGGTAGACTTATTCTTGTTCAATATAATACTAAAACAAATAAATCTAACTTTATCTCCGAGGTCTCCACCAATGAAAATGGAACTCAGAGACTTATAGAGCCTAAACTTGTTGTTGCTTATGCTTACAAGGGATACACCCTAATCTACGTTGCAGAGGTCATTAACCCTAAACCCTAAACCCTAAGCCCTAAACCCTTAATAAACCCTTAACTTCACACCCTTATGCCTATAAATGCAACACCCTCATCTACGCTGCACAGATCACAAACCCTAAATCCTAAACCCTTGACTTGACTAAACCCTAAACCCTAAACCCTACACCACCCGCTTCCCCCTCCTATCCTCTGCACCCTGAACCCTAGCCCCTACCCGTTAAACCCTAAACCCTAAACCCTCGATATGGGGGTTTTGCTGAGGTGAGTGTGTTTGTGTTAGTTAGTTTGTTTGTGTGATTGCAGGAAGATAGAACAGAGCCTATGCTCCTAACGAAGCCCTATGGTCATTCTGAGATTCGTTTGTATCAACGCTTAGCATCTGTCTCCGCGGGGGAGACAGATTTAAAGGAGATGTGTTTGTTGCAGACAGGAGACGCTTCAGGGGGTTTGAGTGGGGTGTGGTTAACAACATTTCATAATGCTTATGATGGACCAATGGTCCACTTAGTGCCTCTAGACACCACAGCAACAACACCTGATTTTAAATACACCCCAAGAGAATGGTATGCATTAGGAGAAGAACATCGATTAGAACCTTCTATTGTTGGGTCTTCATCTTCAACTGGTTTAGCTAGCTTTGCTTTAAACCCTTCTGCTGCTTCTTATGCATTCATGGAGAGGAACATACGTATTGTAGAGTCATCTGGAGCTATTACCCTTCGTCTTATTGATATACAAGAAGAACCTGTTACTGTTGAGATCATAGGTACAGGGGTTGTAAATAGCGTTAATACTTCTTTCACATTTAGAGTTGGATGTAAGGATGGACATTACTATAGTAACGGCATGTGTATCAAGTGTCAGACGGGGTCATTTAATAGTCTTGCTCTTATTAAAGAAAACCCTACCAGCTACTTTCATGCTTGTAGAAAATGCAGCGACAGAAGAAGCACTGTTGCTGAGGGTTCAACAAGCAATGAACAATGTCTCTGTGAGAAGGGGCATCATTTAGACAAAGACACGGGAGACTGTGTGCCTTGCCCAGCAGGTATTCTTCAAACCCTAAACCCTAAACCCTAAATTCTAATACTTGCGGGTTAAGGGCTATGCTTTCGGGTCGACGCACTTGGGGGGTTGGGGTTTAATGAATAACTGCAGCTTACAAATTAGGGTTTAAAACTAAGGGTTTAGGGTTTAGGGTTTAGGGTTTGGGGCATGGTACCGTATGTCTTGCGAGGCAATAAAATTAATTTTTAAGGGTTTAGGGTTTTGGAATATGGTGTTTGTGTTGGGGTTTAGGGTTTAGGGTTTTGCAAGTGTGGGGCTGGGGTGTCTCCGCAGGTTATTATAAAGACACCGTAGCAGACACGGGGTGTACAGGCGGTGGCTGTCCCCCTCACTCTGTCTCTCATGTTGTTGGTGCTGTTACCTCAGAAGAGAGATACTGCTCTTGGTAAGCCCTTGGAGACAGATTTTAGAGACAAAATTTAGAGACTATATTTAGAGACAGAACTTCGTTAAAGGGTTTAGAGATAATATTTAGAGATAATATTTAGAGATAATATTTAGAGACAATATTTAGAGACATAATTTATTCAAAAGATTTAGAGATTATATATGGAGACAGTACTTAGAGATAATATTTAAAGACAGAACTTAGAGACAGAATTTAGAGACAAGGATTTAGAGACACTGATTTAGAGATAAAATTTAGAGACAGTGATTGTAGGGAGGCAAGCAGTCTCTCAGTGTCTCTCTACGTGTTGCTGTCGCTGTTCGCATTTGTCTCCTGCTGTCTCCTTTTTTATTATTATATGTCTTTGTGTTGGTGTCTCTTCTTTGTGTCTGTAAGCATGCATGCATTCGGGTGTCTCCGTCTGCTGTGTGTATTGTCTCCTTCTCACTCCTATCTCCTTGTTTGTTTACCTCTTTCTCCACAGGTATCTGTGCTGCTGCTGTTGTTGCTGCATTTGATGTTATGTCTTTCTCTGCTGGTTCTGCTGCCTCTGCTGCCACTTCATGTTCTGCTGCTACTGTTGTTGCTGTTGCTGCTGCAGTTTACCCGGGTATTACGCTGTTTATACAGACGAAGAGATGCAGTGCTTAGAAGTAGAAGAGGGATACTTTTCTTCAGGTGGCTATGGGGCTGCTCGTATTGCTTGTCCCCCCTTTACTTCTACAAATGCAGATAATGGTTTGTCTATAGATTTGACGCACTGTCTCTGCAAGCCAGGGTATGCTCCAGCCTCAGCTGATTCTCTAGCTGATCCTTCTACACCTGCAAGTCTCCTTAAGCGTTGGCTGTTGTTAAACCCCTTTTATAAAAATCTTCAAGACACTCAAGTGTGTATGTTATGCGGTCGGAGACACTATAAAGGACGTGTCTCCGCTGAGGCATGTCTTGAATGTCCTCTTAACTCTTTCTCTAGCGAGTATGGGCCTACAGATAAAAGTAGTTGTAATATGTGTCTCCCTGGATTCTATCATACTTCTAATGAAGATCTACCTTGCGGAGAATGTCAAGCAAATCATTTCTGTGTGGGGTCAGAGCCTGCCCTGGAGGTACTGTCTCCTTTCGCAGGAGACAAAGTCCCCTGTGGAGAGCATACACAAACTGTAGAGCCTAACAGCCAAAATACAGACCCCTTCAGCTGCATGTACGTTACGCAACAATAACAATAAGGGTTTAGGGTCTAGGGTTTAGGGTTTAGGGTTTAGGGTTTAGGGTTCAGGGTCCAGGGTTTAGGGTTTGGAGTTAAGTGTGTATGGGTTTTATGGTTTCAAACTTCGTGTGTAGAGTTTCGCGTTTCGTTCTTAGAGTTTGGTATCTAGGGTTTAGGGTTTAGGGTTTAGGGTTTAGGGTTTAGGGTTTAGGGTTTAGGGTTTAGGGCTTAGGGTTTGTGGGTGTTTGTGTGTGCAGGTGCACTGAAGGGTATGAGTTTGGAGGTATTGACAGCAACACAAACAAAGTGATTTGTCTCCCTGTCCCTTTGGGTTCTTACAAAGAAAGTCTAGGAAATATTAAAGGCGTCAAATGCCCCCCAGGCAGCAACACTTTAAATACTGCTTCAACGTCTCTCTCAGATTGCGTCTGCAGCGCGGGATATTACTTAGATCAAGACAGCAGGGTTTGCCAGGTAAGAAGGAGACACCAAAGGAGACAGATCCATTAAAGACGTAAAAGGAGACAGATGCATTAAAGACATAAAAGGAGACAGATGCACTAAAGACATAAAAGGAGACAGATAGATTAGTGACATAGAAGAGACAGATAGATTAGAGACATAGAAGGAGACAGATGCATTAAAGACATAGAAGGAGACAGATGCATTAAAGACATAGAAGGAGACAAATAAATTAAAGACAGAAATGATAGAGACAGAGATATTAAACTTCCAGGAGACAGCAGAATAAACGAAAGAAAGCCACAGACACCTTTTTGCATTTGCTGCTGCTCCTCCTCCTCCAACCCTCCTGCTGCTGCTGCTAATGCTGCTGTTGCTGCTGCTGCTGCTGTTGTTGTTTGTGTTTGCTGCAGCCTTGCCCTGTGGGTGCATATTGTTTAGGGGGTATTGATCCTGCGACGAATATGCACAGCTCTTTTGTGTTATGTCCTGCAAATACAACAACAAAAGGAGAGATGTCTTCATCGCTAAAAGATTGCTTGTGTGATAAAGGGTATTATAGAGCAGGGTCTGGTACTAGCTTAGATACAGTTAATTGCAATAAATGTAGAGTTAACTCTTATAAAGATTGGATAGGCAATGAAAGCTGCAAACAATGCAGCGAAAACTCAGGGATGAATGTTACAGGGTCCACCTCTTCAGCGCAGTGTCTGTGCAGCCCCGGGTATTATTATAACAGCGAATTAAGAGAATGTCTTGCTTGCAAACAAGCATATAAATATTGTCCAGGAGGAGAGACAGATTGTACTGAAGATGATAAAGAATGTGTAGACGGAAAGAAGCCCAATCAGCCTGTTAATTGCCCAAAGCATACCCGCATTACGGAGGGGTTCGATACCCCCTCAACCCTCGATGATTGTAATTAAACCCTAAACCCTAAACCCTAATTATCCCCTAACCCTCTTCTACTGTATATACACCTCAGCATATAACAATACACAACACGTACAGACCAAATCCACATATACCCCACAAACAACAAAGGCTATACATGCATAACAACTGCTGCTGGTGTTGCTGCTGCTGCTGCTGCTGCTGTTGCTGCTGCTGTTGCTGCAGGCAAGTGTGACCGTGGTTATGCGTTTAAACATATAAATTTGGAAGATAATATAAAAGTGTGCGAGCCTTGCAGCGAGGGTTCATACAAGTCTACTGTTCAAGACATTAACTGCAATGGTTTATGCGGTGTCTCCTCAACAAGTTTAGAGGGGGCTCAAGCACAAGCTCAATGCTTCTGTGAAGAGGGGACATATTATGCTGCAGGTGTATGTCATGCATGTCCTGATGGTGCTGTTTGTCTTGGGGGTTTAGTAGATGCAGCAGTTGAACGCCTCTTAGCAGATCCTAGCTATGTTGCAATTACAAACGAAGATCATGTGAAGCCTTATTCTCAAGCAGGATATTATTTAAATAAACAAAGAGAGTTTCTTACATCTCCTTCAGACTGGCAATTCTTAAAATGCCCTATTGCAGATGCATGCTTAGAGTTTGGAGTATGTTCTTCAACTATGGGTAACTATCTTTGTAGCGAATGTAAGTCAGGCTATACAAATGGCTTTGAGAAGGACGAAATATGTACTGCTTGTCCTGCAGAGATCCCTAATGCATTATTGTTTGTTGGATATCAATTGGGTTTATTATTATTTAATGTAGGGATGGCGTACATGAACGTTGCTGCTGGTTTTAATAGAAGATCTATACACTCAATTGTCATTAAGATCGCTTCAAACTTCCTTACATGCATGTCTGTTCTTACTGTTGTAGATTTTAATCAAATTAGCCTTCCAACATGGGTTACAAACTTAACACAAAATGTATCGGAGACTATCATACAGAAAGAAGCAAGCAGCACAAGGTTCACTGCAGTCGAGTGTCTTCTTCGTGAAGGTTTTTCTTTGTCTTTCTCTGACTCATTTTTTTATTCAATGCTTCTTAATGCATTACTTCCTATTATCTTGCCTATATTGGCTACATTTATATTATACTTTTTCCTTCATCGATTTCAACATTACTATCGTAACTCGATTAAAAAAAAACTCTTACTCTTAGCAGAGACAGAGAGATATGGGTTAACAAGCTTAACTGTGCAATTAAAAGAAAGATATGAAGAAGACAGAGCCTTTATGATGTTTCGATATGTTCCTATCCCTGGAGATTCTCAGTGGAGGAGATGGGTGAAGTTTGTTGAAGATATGATTCCTATTTATGTCACAGTTTTATTCTTTTTATACACTGCAACTACAAGACATATGTTAAGTTTATTAGATTGCTCTATTATAGATTATGGTAGTGCTTATGGTTCTAAGTCTTTCTTACGTGCTGCTATGTCTATAGAATGCAATGTACAGCCATCAAGCGATTATTTTAAATTCTTTGCTCTTGGGATCGTTGGGATCGCCGTGTGGAGTGTGGGGATTCCACTTGTCTCCTTTTCTGTGCTGTATGCAAATCGTAAGAATCTTAATAGTAGAGAGACACGTCTTAAGTACGGTTTCCTTCATAATGGGTTTGTTAAACAATACTGGTTCTGGGAGACGGTTGTCTTTGCGAGAAAATTCAGCGTTCTTGTTGTCTCCTCTGTTCTTATGAGTTCAAGCGATAATAATGGGTCTCGTCTTTGGCCTGCATGCGTCGTCGCCGTCATCTTCAATATTTATCACTTAAACTGTCAACCTTTCGATAAAAGGTATTTCTACAACTACACAATTAAACCCTCTAGAGCCCCTGATATATATATATATATATATTTATATTTATATTTATATATACGTGTATATATATCTGCATGCAAATATGCCTGTATTTATCACTTAAACTTTCAGCCGTTCGATAAGAGTTATTGCTACAACTACACAATTCAACACAATAAACAGCCCCATATATATAAATATATAAATATATATATATTTTTATATTATATGCATGTATATATGCCTGTATTTACCACTTATACTGTCAGCCATTCGATTAAAAGTGTTTAAAGCAAGAGCACAAACAAAATATATATATATATATATATATAT